ACACTTCATTACCTGATTCCCTGAAAAAGGCTCGGGTTCCTGCTTTAGGTCGCAGAGTCGTAGGTTCTCAGACTACTTGGAGGTTCATGGGTAGTTATAAGTGGGGTTATAAGTAGGGTAACTATAACTATAACCCTACGTAGGGGACTTATAACCCCACTTATAACTACCCATGAGCCTCCAAGTAGGGGCCTTAATAACTAGAACAGTGTTTTGGGACCCATTGGGATGTACAATGGTTCTATAGTAGGGGCCTGAATCACTAGAATAGGGTTTTGGGGCCCATTATACTATCATGAATATAAGGAGCCCCCAAAATAGTATAGGTCATTATTAAGGCCCCTGTATTAGCCGGCTTTAACCGCAAGCATCGGAGGACTAAACCCTGAACCAAAACCCCCTAAACCTTGAACCTAAACCCTGAACCCTAAACCATAAACCCCTAAACCCTGAACCTACAACCCTAAACCCTGAACCTAAAACCCTAAACCCTGAACCGTCAACCTAAAACCCTAAACCCTAAACCGTAAACTCGAGTGGTTTGGGGAGTTCGGGGCTTCGAGAATTTCACCGGAGTTGGGCCTCAGCAGTTTGGCGTTGAGACGCTTCCATGCGGTTACAATCTAGGTTCCTGAGTAGTACCCTTTTGCCCTTTTGATTGTATTGTCCCCTTATTAAAAGCTGAATGGTAGGGAAACGGGTACCCTTATTCTGAAGGGGTCACTCAAGAACCTAGGTTTAGAGTCGAGACGCTTCCATGCGATTACAATACTTGCAGGAATCATGGAACTTAGTAGGCAAGGTTCTAAGTACCATAGTTGGGGCAAACTGTGGTTACCTTGTTTGTAACCCCGCAAGGTCTTTGCGAAAAGGAGCAGACAAGAGCAGCAGCAACAACAACAACAACAACAACAACAACAAGAACAGGAACAATACTATCAGCAGCAGCAGCAGCCGTAGCATGATGCTAATCATTAAACTAACTTCTATTCTATCCACAGCTGTACAAACCATAAGAACAACACTGCTGATGACATCAACGCTCGCTGCAAACCAAGAACTGCAAGCGCCCGGTAGTAGTTCTCTAGGCTCCCTTTCTCGGTCCCCAAACTAGTACAAAAGGATCCTAAACAGCCATGTGCAGAGAAGGCTTCCTTCGCGCCGCACCGTGGAGGCCCAGCCACGTTCGAAGGCTTCTCCACAGAGGGTGAAATATACAGGCCTAGATAATTACCAATACTACTCTTGATGATATCAACCCTGCATTACCTTAAGGACCCTAAACTATGGGAATTATGGGTATATTCCTTGTTATGGGTAATGCAGGATTTACATCATCAACCGTCGTGTGTGTGTGTGTGTC